GCTTTATGTTATTGTATCGTGCAGAACGAGTTAACTTAATAATGATTAAAGTTGGAAACTTTAATTCGCGATGGAAGCGACACCAGCGGAATTGGTGAGGCGAAGAGGGCCGCGAATTTCTAGAATAGTCATCGGGAATCAGGAGTATGCTCGTAGGGGTTTGCTAAAGCCGCGTTGTCCGCAATCTAAGCCGTGGGGCTAATGACAGTCCGAACGTTCCTGCATATTTACGTCATACGTATGTGGCTAGAGGGATATCGCGGGACGCTTCATTTCCATTCTGGTGTGCGACTTTGAATGTGGGTTACCCCGGGGAAAAAGAGTGGAAGCCCTAGTAGCTCACTTGGTTTATCCCATTTCTTTTGGATAATCAAGGCTTTGTTCCTGCGAGTAATCTACTCAAATGACTGAATGTTTCGAAATGTTGTTTTGAATGATAAAACTTTACTCCCCAGTGTATGATTAATAGTAAGCTGTAAAATATTCTTTTTTAATGTACATTAATTGTTTTTTAGTTGGAGAGGGGGGGGGGAGAAGGTCGCTAGAAGAGGGATGAAGAAGTTGGAAGGACGAACAGTAGAAAATAGTCTTTTGGGCCACGACTCATGAGAATACTCCCCCCCCCCTCGTTCCATCGTACTTGCGACCTTAATAATAAAACGGCGTTCCCTCATTTTCCAACCTATGTATTCATTCGCGTCGGTGTTAGACTTTTATTAAACATTACGTTACTGTTTTTTACGCAGCTGAGGGTACGAGCACATAAATAAATTAGTGATGCGGGAGATTAAATCTTCAACTTTAAGGAAAAATATCAGCAGTAATGGTAATAGCTGCAATTCTAATTCCATGTGAATATCATTTTCGAGGAGTTGTATGGGTCGTTAAGGGATATTATGTTTTCAATACATGCGTAGTATATTTTTCTGCTAGATATCATTGTTAATAAATTGAATATTAGAAAAAATTTATCTTACGGAAATGTGATCAGGTATTTAATTTCTTCGTTATGCTTTACACAATTTTGTCTTTCAATAATTATGAAATTTTTCAGATTCGTTTCAGTTGAATGACTTTTAGTTGATAAATTTGATAAATTTTTAGTTTCATAAAAGTTTTAGTTCTGTATAGAATAATGTCACATTACTTTCAATCATCAATTTACATTGATTATTGATAAATTTATACTCCAATTTCGAATATATAACATTGTAAAAACATGACCGAATAAAATAAAAATATTAGTTTATTGATTTTATTCGATATAATAATGTTTTATAATTATTTGATTTTATTTTACATGCTTTGGTTAGTTATACTAACGTAGCTGTATAATAGAAAGAATAAAGCATTTTCCCATTTTGACTTACACTATATATATATATATATATATATACAATATTAGCTTCTAATTTCAATTGGTTATTTAAATTTTTATTCATATATTTTTAGTAACTTTATGTATAAATATTTTTAAAAATAAGTTTATTGAAATACCATTATGAAAAAAGATAGTGTCAAAGATTATTATATTATATGTTTATTGAAAATTTTTTAGTATGCTATATTCTACAGAAATAATAAAATATTTTTAAAGAATGTATTCTTGTAGTACTTTGAACATTTTTATATAAAAACTTTGTAGTTTGAACTCTAAAATGAAAAATAAGTATTTGAATTAAATAAAGTTGTCAAATAACTAAACTATAATTATGTTCTTTTAACATTCTTTATATCAAACATTTTATCCAGCGTCTAAATCATTTTTTCGATAAGAGTTTAATAAAGATTATATGCTCAATAATCACGATAGACATGGGAAAGGAAAGGAAGAAATATAAAATGAAAAAAAGTGATAGATAAATAACCCATGTATTAGTTAAAAAGAATATAATTGTGACGATTTAAGATTTTGTCGATTTCTTGAATATAGTTTTTATCTTATACAGTCAATTTATGCGGTCATTTTGAAAAGCTTGTTTGTACTATTTAACAAAGCTAGAGTTTTGTTCGTTTTAAATTTTTTTCTCAGATTTCTTTAGAGCTTATATCTACTAGTACATTAGTATGATCTTCGTCAATATCCATTTTTTATCATAATAGTGTTCTCCAATTTTTAGTTTATATATATATATATATTGTATAATCTATTTCACTTTATCTTTTTGTCTCTTCATTGTCGTTTTATCCAATTACTATTATCTTTTATTTTATACTTTATTCTATTCTTCTTTATGTATGTTTTCTTTCGATTAGGAAAGTCATTAAGTGAATTATCAGTAGTCGATACAAATATAACCAATTATAAAATAAATAAAATTTTAGACAAACTCTTAAGTAATATAATAATTATTTGTGTTCTACTCTCATAAAATTTTATGTATTTATTAATTAATACAAGCTCTTTGCTGAAATTTAAGCTATCTTGGGTTTCCGAGAACAGTATGTTCCATACACAAAACATTAACTATAATTTTATATTAACATAACCTTACTGTTAATTATGAAATGCTATTAAATGCACATTTAATTAAGATTTATCTAAATATTACGTATAACGAATTAATATTTAAACTATATTTTTATAAAATGAAGTATTATCTTGTTTACGTTAGTGAATAAGAATTAAATTAGAATGTCACTGTATTTTTTATAATAGAAATTACAAAAATTGTAAGTTAAATTAATTTTTTTTTAACTCAATGTATTAGCGCGAGGGTTGGAATAATAAGAACCTGAAAGGGATCGTTAATATTTCCTGAAGCTTCATATAAATATTAATATCCTTTCGTGTTCAAGAATTATTTACTCAAATTAAAAGCTAAGATTTTCAGATTTTAAATAATAATATAGATCGTAAATATCAAACTGCGTAGTCTGACTTTCAAAAAATGATCATTTATGACATATACTATTATAATATAATATATTACATAATATATATAACTATTTTACAGAAGATGTCTTTATTATGTGGCAATGTAATCTCTTTAATTAACCAATTGAGTGTTTATTAAGTTTTTAACTAGTCAATAATGCATTACAGAAATTAAAATGCCATATAAATTAAATTAAATAGATACATACTTTTATAAATTTGACGATTATATTTACAAATTTGACATTATTTAATGGCATGAGAGTGTCTAAATTTGCGAAGTAATTCAAAATAGATAAAATATTAATAGTTGGCTCAAAGTTAAAAGTATAATCGTAAATTTTTCATCGATCAAAATACGTGTATGACATTGTTAAGGTCTCGCCTAGGATACTGGAATGTGTAGTCTGGAATTTTGGCTGTCGGACGATGTTGTATAAGTTGTCTTTGGTTAAACGAACTGTTCATATAAACATCTAAATTCGTCGATATTCAACTTGATTTGCATGAGTTAATCTGGCCTACGAATTTCACAGGACCGCGACCCTTTCCTGTTAAAATTGTTATTTTTCACGGGTAGAACTATAAAAATTTAAAATAGTAAGAATTCTATTGATTTATAATTGCCGTTAAGAATTCGTTTGAATTTTGTTAAACATTAATGAACGGACACGTGATTATGTGTTCGTGGAATATGGAAATCATTTGTTTTCTATTATCTATGTAAAATTGTTGGATTTTAAATTTTTCGCTGGTTTAAATTTTGCTGAATTAGTTGAATTAAGTTAGATAAAATTATTTAGAAAGAATAAATACTTTATTAGAGAAAATAAAATTAACCAATTTATCAAAATAACCACTTTTATTTTTGTTTCAATTTTTAATCAGGTGCGATGAAATTTAAATAATATATTTTCAAAGATGAAATAGCTATTCTTTATGATGTAAATTAATTGAGCTTCGTTTAAAATAAAACAAATCTTCTAGCTTATTATCAATGCTATTAATGAGCAAATTATTAGTGCTATTATAATATATAAAATGTATTTTATGAAAACATTGCAATATAATAAAAAAAAAAGCTGGATATTTAGAAAATAATGGAAGTATGCATTAATCAATAAAAATACTTTATAACTGTATTTATTTAAAATGAGTCATATAAATGCTGTACAGAAGGAATGAAGAAGAATCTTGAAATATCATTGTAAATTAACGATTAAATTTTGTTGATATGGCAAAGTTCACATAGTTTTCCCATCAATTATAAATATAAAAGTATCTTATATTACCAAACTTCTATAGTAGTAATTACATATGCATATAAATGCATTTATATATTTTATAAATATTCGTTTTTAATTATTTATTTTTTCCGATATTTTGATATTCATGTAATGTTATTTGATCATAGAGGTACATAATAATGTTACCAAAAATTATTTTCGACAATATTTTTATGATAATTATTTATGCTTGAAGATTTAATTAAAATCCATATTTATCCTTAAGGAATATATATCTAACAAACACATTCACATATATTCTGAATAATGTTTGTTAAATTTGAATTTTGTAAGTTAATTAAAAAAAAAAAAAAAAGATTAACAATTGTAATTTTAGGTATAAAAGTAATATGTGAAGGGTATAAAAAGAGAAAAGTGAAAATTCAAAATATATTTCAATTTAGCACGAAACTCATTATATTGCTGTAATGTATGTCAACATTTAGCTATTTAACCTATAGGCAAATTATCGATTGTAATTTTGTACTTCCTTTTCAAATATCGTAGTAGGAAATAAGTAAAGAGATGACATTTCATATAAATTTCATTTTCAGACTCAGATATCTTCTTTTCAATTTTAGCTTCAGCGATGATCTAATAGCAATAATTTTCTATTTATAATACGGGTCTCATGGAAAGCACCGGAAGCTCTAGTACTTGTTTTCCCACAGATTGCGATTTACGAGAGGCAACTTTCATCCTTTAGATTCCCGTTCATTTGATGAAAGTTCAGCGAAAGTTTGTTGGTGGTTCCTCTCCGCCTACCGCTCTCTCTCTCTCTCTCTCTCTCTCTTTCTCTCTCTCTCGAGGCTTTTGATGTTTTTAGGCGTACTTACTTGAAACCAGCGACAATTTCCATGGCGGAATTAAAGTTGCCGATATTCCAGCAGGTTTGAGCCACTCTCAGCAGACAGGAGAGTAAGGCTTGCTTTTCCTCGATCGTTGATCCGCTGCTTATCACGTGGCTCACCCATGAGCTTACCTGAAAATTGAACAATCGTGCATGAAAATGAAGGTATTTAGAAAATTCAAGTTCACTAACGCATTAAATTTGTGTCATTTTTATACTTAACGACAATTCATCGCAGAATCGCGGAGGTGTATTACTTAATAATTTTACAATAGTTAAATGTTTGTATGAACAAAGGACACCAACGTATATAGGCCACGCAAGTACGCATGTCCACACAAGAGTAAATATGAGGTATTTTGATATTTGGTGTGTGTGTGCGCGTGTGCGCGTGTGCGCGCGCGCGCGCGTGTGTGTGATTTTACTGTTGTAAAACACGAGTTCGTGTAAATTCGAGTAGTATAGTACTTTTAATGTATTGATAAGTCGATTACCGCGGTGAAGCGATCGATGAGAGTCTGCACGCTGACGGAGGCCGTCGAGGTAGGCCAGCAGGCCTCGTCCTCAGTTTGGGTAGAACTACTAGTGAGACTCGGGCTAGTGGCTTGACTCAAATATCCGGTTTCATTCTTCGTTTGTTGCCGCTGCTGATCTTTCTGTTGCTGGCGCTGCTGCGAGGTCGTGAGGTCCTGGGAGACGTGACGGAGATATTCGCAGGGTGGTACCTGGTAAAATAGCTGGTACTCGCTCTCCGTCAATCTGAGCGCCACTTCCTCCGGGAAGTGCAGCAGCTTTTGCAAATCCTCCAGCTCCTCAGAGCTCCGAGGCAGCTGCGGCTGCGGCCGCTTCTCCAGCTCTAAAATTCAAAGTAACCTTGTCATAAATTTCACGAAGACGACACATTAGCGTTTAGTGGAAATAATTAGAAAGCATTCAGTGGTATAAATATATATTGGCCTTGTAAGTAAAATTAATTGTAACTAAAATAACTAAAATAACTTAAATTATCTTTAAATTTTATTTTGACAAAGCTTTATTAAAGACTAAAATTTTCTTATATCTGTCAAGTGTCAGCATATACTATAATTGATTAAGGTAACTAAAATTGAAGGAAGGATAGGTATAATTTTCTCATATGATGTAAATTTAAAATGTTTTGCTTACATTGGCGGTATTATTAATTATTTAAAATACGGAGAATATTTTTCAATTTCCCTTACAGGAAATGGAGTATTTGAATTTTATTTAAAGTTCTGTAGTTTAAAACATATAAAAGACTTGATCGGTGATTTCCATAAATTTCAATATCATCTCTCGTAATTGTGTAAATATTTTCTACATTTCAAATTGAAGTATTTATTGTAGTTATCGAGTTATCAGCCTAGCAGATCCTATATTATGTAAATAAGTCTTTTTTTCTTTACAATATATTTTGTTTTTAAAACAGAACGAGGCAAATTTTATAAGTATCACATACGTCAGAGCGCAAAATGATTAATTAG